GTCTGTTTCTTAGGGAATGTAGAGCTACTGTAACATCATAACATAAATCCCAGCATTACATATGCTTTCTAGTTGATCCAGGTGTGTAAGAGATGTATGGAGGGGTGTTATAACTGCATGACCTGTTAGTCTGATATGCAGTAGAGTAGTAGCAGCCTTGATGTGGGTTTGAAGGAGTATGGAAAACACTTGGCGATGATGGGCGGACTGGGTTATTAGTATTTATCCATCTGACTGCAGTTTTCTTGGGAATTGGGACAATCGTGGCCGACTTAGCCAGGTGAGAACGGCTGCCTGCCTTAGTGAGAGGTTAAAGAAGATGCTTTCCGTCAGCACTCATTCATTATCTCCATCTGCTCAAGCCACTTCTGCACGGGGGGCGTCTGAGCCGGTGTTGCGGTAAATGTGTCCTCTCCTTCTTCCCTGGAAGCACAAGATGGATGCTGACTCCACTTTCTGGCAGTCAGAGCAAGCAAAGTACTTTAGTTTGTCCATGAAAGTTTTGTCAAAGCAATTTATGGCTTTCCCTGTAGCCAGTGATTGTCCTTATTCCACATGCATTTTGAGTTGTGCTCTATACACTGACATTTCAATTAGAAGTTTATGGGTGAGGGTATGATTTTATGGCGCATCTATACAAGACTACATAAATTAAAGGACTAGGACAACATCTGATCTGTGGCAACCATAAGCTGCCTTTTGTGAAAACTGGATTATAAAAATGAAACCAATTTGATTTGTGGTGCAATTTTAACCCTTGATGAGTTGATTCTCAAATTAGTGAATATCAAGAGCAATTTTATTTCATCAAGATCTGATTAAAGACTTGTTTTTTTTACACCCCCTCCAAGTCACTTAAACTATAGGATTAAACAGACAAGAATTATTGAAATTGTAGCTTATTGCCATCATAATTTACAGGTGATTAGTTTAAAGTATAGAAGTTTGCAGACAAATTAAAAGCTATGAAGGTGCACAAATGCATTGTCACTAAAATGATTATGATGAGAAGCAATTCTGTTAGATGAACTTTCTCAACTACAGAAGTTCTGTAATATGCCATAGTAGCACAATTGAATACTTTGTTCTGCATTAACCACAGTCTGTACCATTTTCACAGTCACTAAGAATCACTCAGCATTTACGAGCCTTGGGAAACAGCAAGATGTCAGCTAGAAAGACGAAGTTGACTCAGCCACACTGGGTTGTGAATTGAGCACCCCATCCACAGAGTATTGCATTTATGAACAATTACTACACCCTTTGGAAAGTTTTAGCGATGCTGTACAAGTAATTTAAGCCTAATGCTTCATGTGAAGCTCAGCCCATGACACTACACCATGCAGTTTACTTCACATTTCAATGCCCTTTTGTCTGAACTCTGTGTTCAGACAAGTGCAATATGCAAATTCAAGCGGCATCGTTTTAATTAAACTGATACGTTTACATTTGAGGCCTTGTTATAGCCAGTTAAAGATGTCAGACCAGTTTAGAACTTGAGGCCTGCATCTACAACAGTCATGACCCAGCTTACAAATTGAAAAGCTTAGACACCATATAGCTTAAGATTTATTTTTATTGAAATATCAATTTGAAAGTAGGATGGGTCCAGAGGAGAGCTGCCAT